GGATTTGCCAAGAAACCCAGCATTGGCCAGCCTGGTTCCTTGGAGAAAAGCAAGCTATGAACCCAGCAACAGGTGTCCAGATCGCCTTAGAGCCTGGAGGCTTCATATAGCCACTGTGACATCTTCCTCCTCCAGGAAAGTATCTAAACCCCATGTAAAGCGATCTAACCTGGCCATGACCTCTTGGGGCAATGAGTTCGGCGGGTTAATTGCACAATAGGTCAATGAGAACTTGCTTCAGCAGTGCCCTATGGGGCTCTTTCAATTGTCTCCAAAACTTTTACACTGGTTGCCTCCTCAGCTGAGAGACAGCATTTGCCAAGATGGGGAGGTGCCAGGTTTTGGACTACAATCCCATCAGCTCCAGCCAGCCAGCAAGCCATCTGATGTCATGGCTGGTGGGAGTACGGGTGTGCTGACTGGGGCTGATGGGAGTTGTAGTCCAAAACGTATGGGGAGCAAGAGGTTGGGGAAGGCTAGTCAACACCCACTCAGGCTGCCTTCATCAGCCAGGATGGGCAAGGGTCAAGCAAACAAATTGGTGGTCTTGCATCCCTGAGAATGGCCCTACATCCGCCAGTTCTTGAGCAGGCCGCATCCTTAGGCTGCTCAAGAACTGAGAAGTAAGCATCAAAATAGGAGAAGCAGCTACCAAAGCTTCATCTTGCTCCTTTGCACCAAGAGGACTCAGAAACTCCCACGTGTGAAGGATTGTGGCCAGGACTTCCAAGCAATGCATTTATGGGTTTTTGTAAATTAAGCCCTTCTAACACCAGCTACTGTTGCTGGCCTCGTAAAAGAGATCAATTTACCTCTCTCTTTTTGCACCATGCTCACTGTCCTTTGTTCTTCCTCTCTTTATTTACTGTATTTGTTTTTATTATTATTATGCTGCCTTTCTGGGTAAGCCGTCCCCTCCGGCTCAGATGATGACTTTGAGTTTTTGTTTAGCAAGCCCTTACCCTTTTCACATTCCTGGAACTCTCCCTGCTTTGAGTCAGTGTTTCGTCAGCCCGACTGGGTTCTGTTACTATCATCACCCATCTATATTTACAAGGTGAGGTCAGAGAAGGACCAGGAAGAGAGAGGGAGAGAGAGAGAGAGAGAGAGAGAGAGAGAGAGAGAGAGAGAGAGATTAGGTGTGTGTGTGTGTCTGAGAGCGAATTTGGCATTTCAATAAGTTGTGGCCATGTGGAAATGGGGGGATGATGAAGACTTGATAGATGGGAGGTTACCTATGAAGCTTTGACCTTGTGACGCTTCCCGTAAAGGTAAAGGGACCCCTGACCATTAGGTCCAGTCGTGACCGACTCTGGGGTTGCGGCGCTCATCTCACTTTATTGGCCGAGGGAGCCGGCGTACAGCTTCCAGGTCATGTGGCCAGCATGACTAAGCCACCTCTGGCGAACCAGAGCAGCGCACGGAAACGCCGCTTACCTTCCCGCCGGAGCAGTACCTATTTATCTACTTGCACTTTGACGTGCTTTCAAACTGCTAGGTTGGCAGGAGCAGGGGCCGAGCAACAGGAGCTCACCCCGTCGTGGGGATTTGAACCGCAACCTTCCGATTGGCAAGTCCTAGGCTCTGTGGTTTATCCCACAGCACCACCCGCGTCCCTGATGCTTCCCCTTGAAGTCCACTATATATGTTCCTTGCATCTAGCGATGCCTGGAGATTCTTGAGGCTTGCGTAAACTGTACAAACCCAATGTAGTTTAAATAGCTTTGAGGTGTACTCAATGCTCATCCTACCCAATTCAAAGTGCTCACCTTAAAGCCCTACATGACTCAGGCTCCAAATACCCCAAAGACCGCCTCCTTCACTATAGACCCACTTGGGTGCTTAGGCCCTCAGAGGGGGCCCTCTTGGTCATTCCATGACCCACAGAAGCTCAGGGGGTTGGCAGCTTGGGAGAGGGCATCCTCTGTGACAACCCCTAAGTTGTAAAACTCCCCACAGAGGTGTGTCTGCCTTCTTCACGAGACAGGTTTCAGCAAATTCAGCAGAGGTGCACTGCTTCACCCTGGTCTGAGACACAACATTTTAGGACCCACCTTATTTCTGTGATTGCAAGTTGTTTTAAATTGTTTTTAATGTTGAGTCTTAATGTTGTTAGCTGTCCTGAGACCTTGGGGTGGGTAAGTAGTAATAACAGTGACTCTCAAGCCACTAGCAGCAGCTCGCCACTCTGCCCACAGGGCAGTTGTTTTGGACAGGTTTTAATACCAGTATTGTGTCTTAATTGTTGTAAACCACCCTGGGATTTTAGGGTGGAGGGAGGTAATTCATTAATAACGATGGTGATGATAGTAACACTCCAGGCCCCACCAGGGTCCGAGCCTCAGCAGAACGGAAAGTACTTCTCCCCACCGTAGCCACACAAGTCAGGCCCCCACTGTGCAGAGCAGCAGCCCTAGGGTCCTTCTGCCAAGCAGCTTCAATCGGACAGCCCTGGTCCCTCTGGCATGATGCTGTCCGGAAGCAGCCGAGCACCCGTGCCATGCCCACCATCTGCCCTAGCTGTGCCTCGAGCCAAGCGGCGATGTCAACACACCCAACAAACTCTCCACAGGAAGGATGGGGGAGGGCAGGGAGGGATGAACTCATATTCTAAAAATCTTCAAAATATGTCATCACCTATTCCTGTGGAGGAGAAGGGGCAGCTGGGCTGGGCCCAGCCCCTTTTCCCCACCCTTAACCTTGGGCAATGTAGAAGTTCCTGCTTGGAGTAACTGGAAGTTGTTTTCCCAAAAGAGCAGAGCAGGTCTGGTTGCCTGGCCCCCTCCAGCCAGCCAAGACATTTTGTGGCCTGAGGTGAAGGACAAAGTGGTGCCTGCTCCCCAAGGGTTCCATTGGCAGCTGTGGAAGAAGCTAAAAAACATTTGACGTTGGAAAGTGAGGAAAGAGCTTCTTAAGCAGGAGCAGTCTACCTCAAGAGTGAGAGCTCGGGATCTCAGCAATCGGAGCTTTTGGGAAGGGATGGGCAAAGGATGTTGCAGTGGTAGAACACATGCGTTGTGAGCAGAAGGGTCAATTATTGGCATCTTGTGGCAGGGCTGGAGGAAGCAGCTTTTCTGAAACCTTGTTCTTTAACCTTTGGTCCAGCAGAGGCTGGTCCATTGGGGTAAATGGGGCACTGTCTCATCAGCTGCAGTCTGCACTCAGCCAGCCTCCTCTTTCCTATTTACAACAAGTGCAGGTTTATTTCCATATTGTGGAAGACCGTTGCTATTTGGTGGCATGGAACAGTGCTCCCTACATGCCCAGGAATCCTGTGGACCCAGGCCTTTAAGTGGTTGTTGATCTTGTTTATTTCAAAAATAGTTTCTCATAGTCAGTTATATGTTGTGAGGCCTCTCACCGCTGGCACCTGGTTTGCAAAATGTAAGAATTTTAGATAGAAAGGAGTATCTGTTAGCCTAAACCGGTTTTGAGTCCCCAGATGTTGTTGGACTACAACTCCCATCACCCCTGACCACTGGTCCTGCTAGGTAAGAATGATGGGAGTTGTAGTCCAACAACATCTGGATATCTATGGCTGAGAAAGGCTGGCCTAGGCAACGTTCTTTCATTTTGGTGGGAGCCCCATGTACAACCCCAACACCAGGTGTGGCTTGTGTAATAACCCCAACCAGTGTAGAAGTCCAAGGCCATCTCTCTTGGTCAGATCTTCAGAGCTGGAGAGCTTCAGAACTTGAGGACTTTGATGCAGGTTAGGTTTGGGAAGTGCTGTGGGCTGGCCACCGCTGCAGGAACCACATCCACTGCTAAGAGGAGATCCCAGCAAGCAGAGAGCGGAGACGTAAGGTTATGGCAATACCATGTAGCTTTCTTTGGGCTATTTAATAAAATACCCAGTCTTCACCCCATTTGTGTGTTTATTGTTCCAGATCCTAGGAATACCTCTGCCCCTTGACAGAACAGCAGTGTGCGGCCCAGGCTGTTGGCTTCCTCTTCCTTAGGCCACATTTACACCAGGCACTTAAAGCACTAGGAAACCACTTTTAATAGTCATGGCCTTTCCCAAAGAATTCTGGGAGGGTCCTGAGAGTTTTGAGCACACACACACACTCACTCCCCTCCCAGAGCTACAATTTTCAGAGTGGTTTTACAATCGATCCTTCTGCACAGGGAACTCTGGAAACTGCTGGAAGGGGATTAGGGGTCTCCTAGCAACTCTCAGCACCCTTAACAAACTACACTTCCCAGGATCCTCTGGGGGAAGCCATGACTGCTTAAAGTGGTATCACAGTGCTTTAAATGTATGGCGTGAATGTGGTCTTAGTCTCAAGTGTTCCCTTTGTGGAACTCAAGAGGACAAAGCTATAATTGGCTGCTTGGCTTTGCATGTCATTGGCTCTGGCTCCATCTGCTCTTGTGGGCATCAGCCACCAGTGCTTGGGTCCACCACCCCTGAACATTGGCTAAACTGACTGGGGCTGATGGCAGTTGTCCTCCATCATCATCAGGTGGTGATGCCCCCACCCACCCAAAGTTGGAAGAACATTGGCTTAGATCAGGCATAGGCAAACTCGGCCCTCCAGATGTTTTGTGACTACAACTCCCATCATCCCTAGCTAACAGGACCAGTGGTCAGGGATGATGGGAGTTGTAGTCACAAAACATCTGGAGGGCCGAGTTTGCCTATGCCTGGCTTAGATGGACCAGCGACCTGACTCAGTATAAGACAGCATCCTCCATTTCCCAAATGTCTGCTCACAATTCCCAAGCCACCAAGTGCAAGTTTACAATGTGTGCTTAGCAATTTGGACCTCACCGGAGTATCAAAATAACTGGTTAGGACAGCCTCTGCCAACCTGGTGCTTTGACAAAGCTCCCAACAGCCTTTGTCTCACACAAGCAATGTTGGCTGATGGGAGTTGTAGTCCAGCGATATCTGCAGGGGTAACAGCTGTTACACCATCATTGCATTGCAAAGCGGGGCAGGGGGAGCAAAGAGAGAATGGAAAAACTGAAGCAATGAAGACCAAGACCCTGCATTTCTTAAGTAATAATACTTTAATAAAATTAAGTTCTTAATGTAATTTAGCACATTTAATACAATAACCCTTTCCCTTCTTTGTTTTCCTACAAGTTGTGCAACATCATTATTTTCTTTTCTTTTTTTAACTTTTAAAAAATCTTCTCTTTACTATATGCCTCCGAACTCAAGACACTGAGTCTAACTAGTAATCATCTTCTTCTCTTTATGGATGGGTTAACATTTCTTAGCTTCTCTCTCTTCCTCTCTCGGGTTTTTACAGAGCGAGAGAGAGGAAGAAAGAAAGGAAGGGGTTGGGGGAAACCAGGTAACAACTGATAAAATAAAACCCAAACCCTGGATGGAATGCATGACCTGCTTCCAAGGACTGATTTCCTATGACAAAAAAGCAACACCAGAAACTGAGACAAGAATGGTCCAAGGTAAGGCAGAACTGTTTACAGGTGGAGAATATATATCCTGCACCGTGTTGAAAAAGAAAATCGAAGTCTACAACAGCCCTCCAATACATGCCCGAATATATGATGGAATAAATTGCTGGATTCAGCTAAGCTAAAGAGTTTGCATTTGCCGTTGCACATCTGGGGGAGGCATCTTCATGGCAAAGTTAAGCCAATTTAACTGGCATAACCGTTCTCCCACCCCCAGCTTTATTCTGCAATATAGTGAAGGTGCTGAGAGAGTTCCTACTTGTAGAATAGCCCCATTATTCCCTAGGAAAAGGGCACGACAAGCACCTTCTCCCTAGGGAATCTGGGAACTGCATTAAGAATTGTTATTTTAAAGTCTGTAGCCATCTTTGCTAATCTTTTGCCCTCCTGCTGCTCTGGGAGTCATAGTCCAAAACAGTGGGAGGGCACCAGGTTGGCAAAAGCTGCTCAGCAGCAGAGAGCTGTTTGACCTTTGAAGTGGTGCTGAAATGGAACCAAGGTTCAGGATGGGGTGGAAAGGAATAGTAGAGTTCAGATGGGGAAGGAAAAATTCATTTGCAACTTCATGCAGAAAATGTCATTGTATAAGCACCGAAACAGTTAAAATGAATGTTTCCCCCCAAAGAAGTGCAGATCCATTTTGACAGAAGGCAAACAACCTCGCATTTCCTTTTAAGCCCAGACAGCTGCAGACTTGTCAAATGAAAGGCCAAAACAATTTGGGATGCAAAAATCCCATGGCTGGAGGTAAAAGCAGCTCCGATTTGGACCAGGCCTGTGGTGCAGGGGGATTTAACCCTTTGCTCCCTGCACAGATTCCTTGAGACAAATTCCAACCCTCCCTCCCAAAGCTGCTATTAGCCACTGATGAAATGCACAACTCAATGCAGCTTTGGGAAGGGGGTTGTCACAGACTTGGTATGGGGCCAAAAGATTTAACTTCCCCAATCTAAACTCTGATGCCCTCCTGAAGAGAATACCTTCTCACCCAGTGAGGCTCTCAGCAAATCCTTCTTAGTTGGTTGTATTCTGGAGTTGTTTAGAAATGTGGAAGATTGTGGAAGAACTTTAGAAAGATTGATTTTTTCACTTGCAAGGATAAATCTGTCCCCATTGCAACAGTTCCAGAATATGCCCCAATGGATATATTCCCATTTGTGTCAACATTACTAGATTGGACTCTTGGGTTGTATCCAATGCTAGCCCGACTCAGAATAAACCCACTGAAATTAATAGATATGATTAACTTAGGTCCTTTAATTTCAAAGGGTTACTCTTGAGTAGAGCTTAGTAGAATACAACTCCTTGGTGATTATGGTGGAACTCCAGTTTTCTTCATTGGAATTCTCTTACTTGGTAACAAGGGGAAATATTATAGGTTTCATCAAACCCAGTACATGAATTCCACACGAATTTAAAAGGCAAAAGCAGTTCCTCCTAAATTGAAATTACTCTGGACCAATTCCTTAATGACATGAGTGAAATAATGGCTGCCATATCCAGTTCATCAATAACTGATTCCCCCGCTCGCCTGATGTCAGTGGCACCTACGGTATATTATACCCTAAATCAGATTCAGTTTACACTGAACAGACAACAAATCTGAATTCTCTCACATGGCTCACAAGGTGAAATTCTGGTTCCAAATGCTGTACTTAACTTCCCTTCTACTTCAATAGCAACTGGGGAAAAATTGGATCTTACACGCCAGAAGTTTCACTGATGCTAATGAGATGTCTTAACAGTGTATACAAGTACTAACAAAAGTGGACCCTGGCTTTTAGTTATGACTAAAAAGAATAAAGAAAAAGGAATAGTAAAAATCAGAGCACAAATCATTCCCAAGAACTGTGAAATGTTAGCATCCGCTAGATCAACTCCTCCAAGTCACGGAAACCAGCAAAGAAATATGTTGGCCGTTCGTTTGACTGAAGCAAGGATGGCATCTGCTGACTAGTATACAAATATTAGAAACTATCTACTCTACAAATTTAAACCGGATTATCATCATGGCTTTGTCCCACATGAAATCCTGGGGGAAAGGCCTTTAAGAGAGTTCTCAGCACCTTTGCAAAAATTGCATTTTTTGAGGTTCTTTGAAAATTTCCGGCAATTAAGCTGGTTTGCAACCGGTTTAAATTTGCTGTATAGACGTAATGTAGTCCTTGCCAACTTAGTGCCCTCCAGAGGTTTGGGATGGCAACTGAGGAGTTGCAGCCCAAAACCTCTGGAGGGCACCAGGTTGGCGAAGAGTGGTGTGATCTATAAAGTGCATCTGAGTTTCAGTCCAGGGCATTATCTGTATCACCATTCAAGTATCAAACCAAAAGAACAAATTGAGGTAAAATAAAAGAGCAAGTAAACAAAAGAATGAAATAAAAACAAGGAGCTGGCCTGTCTTTTCTTGGTCTGCTAGTACAAATGCCAGCTGCCCAAACAAATCAAAGGAGATTCAGTAACCTAATCCTGTTCCAAACTGGATTCTGATAATAGGAAATGGTTTCCAAGATTGGATTCACAAATTAAAGGTTCCAGGGGATACAGCAGGGGTTTGTCAAACTGTTACCTCGCAAGTAATTGTTAAAAGAGATCAGGTGTACCCTCAGGTAAGAGAAAGCACTGCAAGAACCCTAACCAACTTAAGCAGGACTAGCCTATTCAGAAAGAGGTTTGTAGAACATGATGCCATTATCTGTACCAGTTTATAAGTCAATTTGATATGGAGGAATTGCTCAAGGTTCATACTGGCCTACTTGGAAATGAGAGAAGATGGGGTAACAAACATGCTAATTGAGACCAGGGGTGGGCAAAGGGTAGGTAAGGACCTACTAGTAGACTACTGGGTGCTTTGCAGGAAATTGGCAAGGGACCTTGATTCCCCCAAACTATGGCAACCACAAAAGGGCTATTCAATTAGACTGCTGAAACAAGGCAATTCTGGGAAACCAGGAATTAAACTTTATCCAAAAAGGAATTGTGAATGCAGTTCAAATTCCTGGGCTCAGTATGTGCTCAGGGGACCCAGTTCTTGAATTCTGTCTATGCATCTTTTGTACCTGGGACCTGGTGCATGGATCTTGGGTTTCTAAGGGGGGGGGGAGCAAAAGAAGGCGATCTGATAAGAATGAGGTCTGAACCTGCACAAGGAGGAAAGATTTGAGAATGGGCAAGACACTCCAGAGCTGCCCAACCTGTGCTGGTTAATCCCTGGCCCAGATAGCGACACGACACTTGTATGCTCTGTGAAAAATGAGTCCAGTCTTGCTCCTGAAGTATCAACATCATGGAGCACAACAGCTCTTGAGGCTTGCCAAACCAAAGGCACCACCCACCTTGAGACTCTGCAGGTGCATCCCTCAATATCTGACTTCCCTTATTGCAGAACAAGAAAATGACTCGACCTAAAAGAAGCCACTCCTAAACTTCTCAGAGACTTAGTTCAAAACCACTCTAATAATAGTACCTATATACTTTAAAACTATGTTATTATTTATTATAATAATGTCATATAATATTGAAATATTTTGGAGCAGCAAAGGCTGCTGATCCCAGCTACCCCGGGAGATGATACTTGGCGCAATATGTTCTTCAGGTAAGAAGGCTCAGAATGTCTAGAAGGGAAGGAAGAGGCTGGCCGCTGACCACTTGGCAGGGGCATAGGTGACCTGGGGGCTCTTAAGCCCCTTGAAATCTTCACAGACACGAAGAATTCAATGTACACATTTGGGACCTTCACTGAGTATTGCTCAGTCTGTTCTAAGTGGTATACTCATCTCACTCCTAAAAATATCCAAATTCCATTCTCTGTCTGCTGGGCATAATTTTTCCTACAACTATGGGTCTGGCTTGTCAAAAGCACTGCGTTTTGTTGGGGAGCACAAAACTGGAGGGATCAGGGCTTGGGAGTGGGGAGGTCAAACTCTTATACACGAACACCCCAGATTTTCTTTTATACAAATGCTATACATGCCAGTTAATTAAATTGAAAAATGTTGCTAGGAAAAATGATCAAATCTGAAGGCACTCAAATTTGAGATCAGTGCCTAGGTCATATATATTTTTGTAGCCCTGGCAGATAAGCTTGGAAGAGAGGCAGTTGGGGAAGGAGAGGCAGGGGCAGAATGGCTGTCAGCTTAACAGGACTGTCATCTGTTCAAATAAACCTTAGCTGATTGGAAGATGTAGGAGTTTTAGGGCTTATCCACACTAACCTTTTGCCCCACTATTTTCAGGCCTGTGTATTTAAACTCCATGGTTGAGCATACTCCCCCCCCCCCCGGTTTGCTCTGGAGCTTTCCCCACGAAAATCCACTCTTTAAAGCTGAATCGGAACAAATGACAATTTGGGTTTTCCATGGATTGGCATTTGCTCTGACTAAGCTTTAAACAGTGGGTTTTCACGGTGAAAGCTCTGAAGCAAAACAAAAGGGCACTTGGACATAGTTTTAAAGCATGGGCCGAAGCATGGAGGAACGGTAAGTGTGGATAAGCCCTTAATTGAGCCAATTACCCAAATTAAACCCCACAGCTTCTGGAAAGAGGCACTGGAGTCCTGCCTCCTGAAGTTTACTTAACAAAGCTGTTTTCCCACATGGTTCCACCTTCTACGCAGATAAACAGTGGGCAAGCCCATTTTAATCCAGGGTTGCCCTTAAAATTCCAGGGAAGTAATTTGTTGTTGTTGATGCTGCTGCTGCTGCTATATATTCATCAAGAATGGAAATGGACAGGGCCAAACAGGTAAGGAATATCAGCTAAAGATTTCATCCACTTTGATCACTGAGCCCCAGTGCTCTGATATCAACCATGTTCAATCACCTAATTTAGATGTAGAATATAATAGCTATTTCAACCAGCGTGTTACAAAGGCCTTCCAAAACTCTTTTGATATTTTTGAGAAATTTTCTTTCTTTTTTTTCTCTGAAGGAAAACACCAGCTTTTCCTTTAAAGAAAAACAAAACCTCATCCTCTCAAATGTTCCAATTTCTGTTCAAAACTCAAACCCTTCCTAGCACAGTGCTGGAAGTCAGAATTAAAAAGGATAAGTCTAATCTTTGTTTCCTTTCTAATGTATTGGATGGATATTCTTTAAAAGATCAACATAAAAAACCACCAAAACTTAATTCTTTTTTTAAAAAATACATATTATTAGATCCCACAATTTCCCCCCTATAAAAAAATAACATTGCAGCTTTGATTGACACAAAGTTACTAAACTGTGGTTCAAATTTCAGCTAAGGAATGTAGTACTGGGTGGGTGGGGGGACATAGCATTAGCAGGAAAATTAATAAAATGAAAACAAACCTGACCTTGGTTAAGAGTTTATTTTACATTCTGCTCAGTCTGGGATCGTCAGTTTCCTTATATTTTATATTGATATCATCTACTATTTATTTTTATTATTTTCTATAGGATTATAAGAAATACATTAGAAAGTTTTATACTTTTAGAAAGTTTTTTTTTTAATATACTTAGTGATTCCTCTTCCCTCCCTTTCTCCCTCTCTCTCTTTTTGGTTAAAAATTACAAAATGATTCTGTGAGCAAAGGCCAACAGAGCTGGGGTGTGTGTGGCTTTCTTACCTTAAGGATATTTTGTTGAAAGGCAGAAGACTCATAAATGTCCCTGTCCTCTAAGAAAAGTAGATTCTGGATACTCATGGCTTTTTAAAAAAACAAAGAAAAGTTTGCGAGCTCTATGGGGTTGCCAAGATAGTGCCATTCAGTTGTTGGGATTCCAGCTCCCATTAGGCCTATTCAGCATGGCCAATGGTCAGGATGATGGGAGTTGTGGTCTAGCAACATCTGGAGGGCATTATGTTGTCTGCCACCAGGAGGCATACATCTAAAACAAATGTCAGTTTCATACCAGTTTGTCATGGCTCCTGCCCCAGAGAATTATGGGGATTGCAGCGTGGTGAGGGTTTCTTACAATCCTGTAAATACAATTCCTAGCTCCCTGACACAAATAATATACAGTCTCCCAGGAAGAGTGAATGAAGGCTAATCTCACTTAAGTCTGTTGTGTAGAGATACACTTGGAGGGTTCTATGCTGCACAGTGCTGGGTACTCAATCACCAACAAAGTACATTGAATCTCTAGCAAAACAAGGCAACTGACCAGCAACATGTGGGAATAAACTGTTACCTGGATCATTACCCCTATGCTTTTAAGATTGTAAAAAAAAAATATTTAAAAATAAAAAATCAATGCACAAGCTTAAGAATTTTGTGGTAGGAAATTGCTTTTTGTCTTTCTAACACTCTCCACAGGGGCAGAGAAGGTCCTCTTTGGATGACTCAAAATACTTAGCCCACCAGTAAAGATGCAGGATAGATATAGACAACCATTTACAAAGCAGTAATTTACCATGGTGTGGGTGTTATTAGACAGCTAAGGGACTGGCAGAATTGTTTCATTTCCTGGATCCCCTGGATTTCTAATAGGAAATTATGGGGAAATTCTCCTTGCTGCTTGATATGGGACAACAGATCGCCAGGTGACCAGCAACAGAGACAGTGGCTGGCTGCCATTTTTATGTCTCTTTGCCCAGAGTCATGTTCTGTTCACCATTTCCCAGCTTCTGTGGTCGTACTCACCCTGCATCTACCTCCACGTTTAAAGGGAAAGGGTTGTGGTCCCTGGTCCAAAACTGTCCTGATAAAGACTGCATAGGAAGAGGCAGCAGATGAGGAGAGTAGTGACAGGATCCTAAACTAGCTTAAAAACATACGGTCCTGCTCTGCTAAGCCAGGGCCGGACCCAAAAGGATGTCCTGAGTATTCATGCAAGCTAGACCATCTCGAATCCCACACCTGCCTGCTCATTAAAGAGGATGTATTGAGGGAAGATTTCTGGTACCCCAATGGGCCTGAAGAGAGCTCAGAGACAAGGACCTGCTTAGTGTTGGTCTGACAATTTGCCCACAAAGCCCTTGATTCTAACTCTGCAAACATGGACTCTATGACTCCACACCAGCCCTTGCCAACCTGGAGTCCTCCAGGGACTGTAATTCCTATGGAATTTGTAGTCCAGGAACATTTGAAGGACACTAGGATGGCATAGGCTCATCTAAGCAGATCCACTAAGAGGCAAGTATGCCAACCCAGCTTACCCAAATTTGTTCTATGCAGTTAAATTCTTAAGTGTGTGCTTATTTTTTAAACATCCAATAATAATGAAAATTGCATACCCGAGTGTTGGTGAGCTGAGGATGATTTTAAACCAAAGGCAAACATTTACAGTTTTAAAAGTGGCATTTCTTTTGTCCGATTTGTAATGTTCATCACTTTTAATCATTTTTAAATACAACTTTGTGATACCTATTTTTTTTCTGGGAAGGGCTATTCTTACTGTAACTACCCACTGATACATACACACACGCACGCACGAAAAAGAGGAAGGGGGAAAGAAAGAAACATATATTAAAAACACTTTTTAAGCAATACTCTGGATACAAATGTATTTTCAACCTACATATATTCTAAACATTCTAATCTTTTTAAGGATCACTTTATCATAAAATAAAATATCCTTTGTTCCTTATAATAAATTACCTAATAAAAAGTATTTTATTTAGCCCAGTTCCTTACTACATTTACATGTAATAAATGCATTTATTAAAATAGAAATATTAAATTATAAAGAAATGTTCTAATTTTTTTGTCTTCCCCCCTCTCCATTAAAAAAAACAACAACAACCAAAAACCTCAAACAACCAGGCATGTAAATGCATCATCATCATCATCATCATCATGGCAAAAACAAATGAAAGGATTAAAAGATTGAAATGTTCGTTGCTGTTGACTTGATTCAGGAGGGTTTTGAGATTTAACAGTCATAGCCTTTGCATTGTTGGAGATTTTTAAAAAGTGTGTGAGAGAGAGCATGTGTGTGTGAGTGAGGGAGTGGGGAAGGGGCGGGGAGAAATCAACTTCCCACCAGCTAAAAATACTTCTGCAACTAGTCTGGCTAGGAGAGCCACTTCGATAATGTCTCCTCATTTAAATATAAATCCAAATTCATTTCATCATTTTAAATGCATTATAGTAATACTATTCTCTATATAATTTATATCCATGAAGCTGTTATCAGAGTATGATACTTGGAAATCCCCACCCCCAACCCCAATTACATTTCCTACCACCCTTTTACACAAACACACAGATACCTCAAACAATGGCTTCGAATCTGACCACAGATGTTGGCGATTAACCCCATTTGGGGAGAGCTGAAAGGAACAACCTGCTACTATGTCTCACACTGCTGAGAGATGGCATTCAAATTTGAACTTCCCGGGATTTATTTATTTATTTTTATATTTTTGCTAAAGGTTGAAATCCAAAAGGAAAAGATTCCATGTCAAATATAGCAAATTCTGATGCTGACAAAGTTTCAAAGATGTCAGCAATTTTAGGGCAGCATCCTTTAGGTTGATTAATTGGGTTTAAAAAATTAATCAACTAAAAAGGTGCCTTGATTATCTAGTTAAATTACTTTAGCGTTACCTTTAATACTAGTAACCTCTGAAAACTGGCAAGAAGAGGAAGGGCTGTTGTGGTCCAGTGGGGGAGCATCTGCTCTGCATGCGAAGGGTCCTGTGTTCAATTCCTGGCATCTCCACGTCCAGCTAGAAAAGACGCCCCACCTGAAACCCTGGAGTGCCGCTGCCAATCCTTAGCTAGGTAGACCAATGGTTTGACACAGTATAAGGCAGCTTTGTATTTAAACCAGCCCTTTATTCAGAACCATTGGGGCTAGCTAGAACATTAATTCATTTTGAGGGGAAGGATAATATCACAGTGGTGGAGCGCTTGCTTTGGCATGCAAGGGGTCCCAGGTTCAATCCCCAGCATCTCTGAAGGGGGCTGGAAAGACTCCCTGTTTGAAACCCCAAGAGAGCTGTTGTCAAGCTGTGAAGATAGTTAGCTAGTATAAAATCTAGCTCATTTTAAGGCTGCTGCCTATGTTCCTAAGAGCTATTCCCTCTTGTGTGAAAGAGAACAGGGACTGCCTCTTCTAATGCCATGACATGTATGTGCGTTTAAGTAAAAATACAGAAACCACTTTTTGTTCTCTAAAAGTAGTTTTTTTAAAGTTTCAAATCTATGCAGATTGAAACACATATGATTAATCAGCCAAGATTTCCTTAATCCGGTGACTGTGCTTTTTTATTCGTTTTAGTTGTAATATCTTTGCAACTTAAGATTTTGGAGCAAAGCTGATACAGTACCTTCAAAATGCTGCCTTATGTTGCCAATAAACTGGTGCGTTTCAAAGAAGTTCTGAAAAATCTGATGTTCCAAAATCCACTTTTTGAATTTTCTCAAGATTACGATTGGTTCCAGAAGTTCAAATACCTTCCCGCCCCCCTGTTGCCACCTACCTCACGGCATGCCATGGAAACGCTTGGAAATTTTAATTTTGCCAAGAAATCAAGGAAGTTTCTTCTCAAAATCTCAGAATCTTCCATTGGGACCCTGAATATTAAAATGGTGACAATCTTCTAGTCTCATCTGAAAACTTTTACAAAGACAAGTAGCAGAGGTGCCTTTGCAGATAAATCACATCACCCAATTACCACCCTGATGGGGTCCAAATGGCATGTCACTAGTTTGGGATTGTAGCTAGCTAAGCTGGGCAAAATCAAATTTGGGCCAGGATAGGTGCTGTGGGTGCCTTTTCCAACAAAGGGCATTTTTAAATGGTATGCCCGCACTACCCATCTCTTGATCCACCTCTTTACTCTCAAGGTATATCAATACCATCCTATTATACTGGCTTTATATCACAGCCCCCCCCCCGAATCGTAGAAACTGGGGTGCTGCTATCCAGGCCTGACTCCAGTTCTGGTACACTGCAGCCGCAAATGTCTTAATGCCCAAATGCCCAGTTTTTGTTCTCTAGGCTAAGAAAGATAGAAAGGTGAAAACAGAGCTGACTCTGTTGCATTTATGCATTTGGCAAGAAAAAAAGTGGGAAGGCAGAGATCCCCATCAAATGAGCAGCCTAACCTGTGGCTGGTGTGAATTTTCAAGACACAGGTGCCCCCCCCCCACATGCTACAAGGTAGTGGTGATTATGAGTGGTGGAGCTTAATTCTTCCTCAGTGCAGCCCCATCTTATACTGGGATGCCTTCTACTGACCATTAGTCCATCTAGCCTAGTACTATACTGATTGGCAGCAACACTCCAGGGGCTCAGGCAAAGATTCCAGGGATTGAATTGGGGACCTTCTGTGTAGAAAGCACACCCTTCAGCACTTAGTTCTGGCCCCTGCAGACATCTTTACTTTGCGGGGGGGGGGGGAGGAGGGTGGTGTTTTCTTGACAATATCAGTGCAGATTTGGGGATTGGCACAGACTGGAATTTAAAAGCTCCCAAATGACCCAAGAGCTTATCTGATCATACTGGAAGAGTTGACTTTAAAAAAAATATTTTTTTTTAAAGCTGTCGTAAGTTTTTGTCTATTGCTGGTGAATCAGACCAACAAGCCATCCCTACATACCTATCAAGGAAGATACATGTCAGAGGAAAAAATTAAGGTCATGGGCATTTTTCTTTTTTGATTTATATATATACATATATTTAAAAAAAGAAAAAGGAATCACACAAATGTATTCCCACCCAATTCCTGTAAGGGGTCCTGGGAATTTCAATGTGTGAGGCCCCATACAGGGTCCTCCCCTCCCCCAACAACAGTATGCAGCCCCCCTCTCAGACCAGAGGTAGCCGTTGGGTTTGCAACTGAGGTTCTGCAATTTGGGGTTCTCTTCGCGCTCTCTCTCTCTCTCTCTCTTTTTCTGGCTACATTAAAAAATAACAGGGAGGGCAAGTGGGCGGAAATATATATATATATATATATTTATTTATATTTATATATATTTTTTAAAAGATGGGAGTTAAAATACTGCTATTAAACTAGAGTTGCTACATCAGGCTTTCTTTTAATATATATGTATATGTATATATAGATTAGATAGATAGATAAAAGGTTATTGGAACTAAGAAAAAGGGTCTTTTTTTTCTCTTTTAAAAAAATTAACTGAAAAGAGGCAAGACCTGCCTGGTTCATGAAGAACATTTGTTCTAAGACAGGATGCATACCCCTTCCATTTCTAATTAGCAAGTGTGGATGTTGGTTTGGGTTTTATACTCTTATTTTCATCTTATTTTTTAAAGGGGGAATATCCATTGATTTTCACCATGCGTGCATGTGTGTTGGTGGGGGTGGGGAAGAGTGTTTCAAATGTTTGTTTTAATAAGAAAGACAATGGGGGGGAAAGAGGGTAGGAACAGATCCACATGCACCTCCCCTGCTCCCGGTCGCCATTCTTCCACCCTTTTACTACTCACCCCATAGGGCCAGAGCTAAAATCTGCCCCAACCTCCCAATAAGTATTTCCCCACGTAGGGAGACCTCTCCTCTTCCTCAGTTATCCTTTCTCCATTGCCTGGCATTAAAAGAATTAAAAAAAACATTGACCGAAAACTTTCTCACATTAACTACGAAACAGACTTCACTCCGCCAAGAACAACTAAATCCAAAGAATATATCCAGCCCCGAATGGGGCGCAACGTTGTCAGAGGGAGCACCATCAGACGGGGGGGCCATCCTTCTGACCCCACCCTTTATTCCTTTGCCACAAAGTCTGGGACACCCTCTTGCTCATCCTCCTCCTCCTCCCCCTATCCCCTTTTATCTACATGAGTGGGAGAAGGCCAGGCAGCCCCCTCCCACACCAGGAACAAATGGAATCACGTCAGTATCCGTTCGTTTCCTTTTGCATTCTTTCTTTCTTTCTCCAAAAAAAGAAAAATGTATTTTTCTCTCCCCACCCTCCTCCCCCCAGCCCCCATTTCCTTTCCCCATTTCTCATACGAGGAGTCATACAGTCCTATTTGACAAAACAGGCACCAGAACTTTTCATTATTATTTTTTAAAGAAAAGGGGAAACTGTCAGAATTTGTGGTGTCCATGAAGGGACTTGTTTTTAAGAAGAAGGGGGTTGGGAAAGCTGGTGAGGCCAGTTACCAAGTATTTCAAAAGCCTTTGCAGGCTTTCAAAAGGAATGCATAGAAAGTTGTTTTGCTGGCATGCCAAGGGATGTGCCAAGGACGGAAGAGGGCAAGCCGCACACTTCACTTCCCACGTGGTGTGGAGATCAAGCTGCTTTGAAGGCAACTCCAGATGAATCTTGATGGCAAGGCCAGCCTTTGCCATCTGGAGGTACTGGGTTGGCCAAGGCTGACAAGGACACTTTTGCCAGATTTGGAAACTGAGAGGCTGAAGGCCACCTGAATCAGCTCCATCTCGTCCACTGGCAACCATCCACATTTGCTTTCATAGAGAAAAATTCACCCGAGTTTGTCATGAACGGATTTGGCATGCTTAAGTTCTAATTTTCCACGGTGGTTGACCCAATCCAGTTCAAGTTGTGGAACTGCCATCAGTCCAGCACCATTTAGAGGCAGTTATGTATTGGAATTTGAAAGGAGAGCAGGCAATTCATGTTGCCAAGCTCACCTGAATGTAAAAAAAAAATGCAAATAATTTTGATTGGGGTGGTTTTTGTTTTTTGGAAAACACCCAGATGCCTGCACAAAACTGCAATGCAGAATGAAGCCACTTCAGCATCAAGGGTAGGTAGGAAGTCCCAAGTAAAACTGACAGTGTCCCCTTTAGCAGAGCATTGTCTTTTGAATGTTATGTTAAGAACCTAGGAGGTGATCGCCCTTCATCTTAACCCCTTCTTCTTCCAATTCCAGGACAATACATGTTTTGTCATCATTTAAAGCAACACCTTCACCCCCAGCTCCCTCCCTTCAGACATGGATCATAGTCACTTGTTACATTCAGCAGAATGCAGTTTGGGTTTTTGCCGAAATAAAAAAATGGTAGAGCTGCAGGGCTGTGTGTACTCTCTGAAAGTAGGGATAAAGTATAAGAGGTGGAATTTGGCATCATGAGAAATCAGGATCCAAGGAGGCTTCCCAATGGGACAACATGGGAGGGAGTATATGTAGCCACAGCCCAACCTCCTCTGGCCAAGGGATGAAGCTTTGGTGTTGCACATAGATAGCCCTGTGATTCCCAAGGCTATTAGCTATGTCAAATAATTTTTGCAAAATCTGGGGTGGAATCTGAAGGGATTCTGTTTAGCACAAGAGCACACCCAGCCCTGTCAGTGGATGACTTGAGGGCCATGTAGGACAAATCAATAGGACAGTATTCGGGGGGAAGAAAAAGAGGGGATAGCTTCCATCAGGAAGCATGTTATGTGATGATGAAAGTCATGTTTCCTGCAACGTATCATACAAGGATAAAAATTGAGAAGCTCTCATCTTCTAGAACCATCTATAAGAAGCTGCAAAGTTTCTTGTTTCCAACGTTTCCTTCTAAATAAGGGTCCAAGAAGTGTAAGCATATGTAAAAAGGGGAATGGGAAGGAGAGCATATACCGTGTGTGTGTATGTGCGTGTGTACATACACACATGCACACACTTAATGCATATAACTCTGTTATTTTTAATCCGCCCCTCTGAATCTTGGCAATTTGGCATCCATGTAGCAACTTGAAAAAACCTGACTACATTACGTTGCTGAGGGCGTTGAAATTGGCAGGGAAGCAAGTTTGAGCGCTTGTCTCTCCAATTCCCAACAGTTTGATAAAGTATCCTATGTAACAAAAGCAGGAGTCAAATGTCTTGAAATGATTAAGGATGTTTAACAAGGCAATTCAATATTATTTTTTCTTTCTTTTTTTTTGAGCATGTGTCTGTTTGCTTCATTGTGAAAAAAATATAATATATAAAACTAGGGCAACCTCAGGAAGATCCAGATGAGGACAGCAAAAAGAGGTTTTGGTCCATAAGGATATACTCTCATTTTATCTCTTTATTTGATTTTGTGTAACAAAAGTTTTGGTCCATTTTAAAAAGACGACAAAATTATATATAAACATGTTAATTCGTATATATATATTTTTTGCTTTCTGTCGGGTTGTGGGTTTGTTTTAAGTGGGCTTCGCTGCCAGTATTGCATGATCATCTTTCTTAGGTTTTGGTGCGAAATTGTCGTTGTTGAAATGAAGAGAAACAAAGGAAGGAAAAAACAAGGCTTGTCTTTTTGCATGAATGTTTGAAATTGCATCGCTTGGCAAGTGCGGGGAGCGAAATGCAGAAACCTGGATGTCAACCCTCACCAAATCCCCCTTGAGTGGGAATATGGAAGCGTTGATTTGTGGTGTGGGGGGTTGTTTTTGGGAAATACCCTGTTAGTGACTCCTGATTCTTATTAGATGAATCCCTGCTCGAATAGGAAAAAGAAAAATCAAAGTTCAAGAGTTTTGTGGTGGCTCAGAAGATTCAAAATGGAAAAATAAAACGGTGGCCAGGAGGATTTTATCTCGGGGCTCTTCTAACACCCCCATTTCCCCATTTCACTGGCTCTAATATTATTTTTCATTTTAATTTTTTTTTCTTAGGAAAAAAATAGAGGAAAAAGAATATAAAGATCTTTAGCTGCTTCTTTTTCTTTTTAAGTGTTTTGAGGTAATACAGTTGTGCCCTCGTTTGATCAGGTTCCCAGAGGCTGATGGTTTCTCTCATTATTCTTTCTTGTTTCCCTTCCTGATTTACTTCTTTCTGAGCTTTTCATCCACCAGGCAGGTTGAAGGGCCCAGCAACTTCAGACCACGTTCAGACCAAGACCAAGGCTGGGTTTGCGGGATGAGAAGACGACCCCTGACCTGTCCAGTAATGACTTCTCTCTGTTGCCGGCAGAAACCACAGGCCCTGCCCCAAAATGCCACCACATCGTACCTCCCACGTTGCTTGAGAATCACTTGCGTGTGTGTTAAAGAGTTTCTCGATTTAAAAATGACACTACAGGCTTTATAGTGTAGTGATTACCTTCCCAAATATTCCTGGCTTCTCCATTTTAATTTTATCATCATCTTTATTATTTTCTTTAAAAATAACCCTACATTGCTCCTAAAATAATTTCTTTCTTCTCCTTTAAATTAATTTCATTTTGTTTTCCCCCCTAATTCGTTCATTCTTCAAATTATTTCATATCTGTATTTTTCTCTCGCTCTCTGCTGTCCCCTCCCTCCCGTCCTGTCACCCACTCCAGTTCCCCCTATGTTGTCTTTTCCCCCCTCTCTCAATCTCTCTCTCTCTCTCTCTTAAGAAAATATTCTAATGGCCTGAGTGGCTGCTGCATGGCACACGGGGCATTCTGGGTCAGTCCGCTCACAGATCCGCACGGCACACTCCATGCAGAAGAGGTTGTGGCCGCAGGGGACCAGAGCTGCCGTCACCTCACTCTCAAAGCACACCATGCACTCCCGGCTGCTGGAGATGGACGTCCGGGTGGCAGCAGAAGCACCCAGTTTGGAAAACCCTTGCAAAGGCTCCCCCTGAGACCTTCTAGGAAGCCCAGAGAGGGTAGGCTCTTGTATAGATGAGGATGGGGAGCGGTGCGAGTTGGGATGGATGGTGCCTGTATTGCTAGATCGCTGCTGCTTGGAGAAGAGGACCGAGACAGGGTTGGTGTTCTCCTGCCCAGCCCACAAAGGAGCACCAGACTCTGACACGCCGTAATACAGATCTTGTTTGTTGACACCATAGTTGGGGAAGAGGTAACTGTAATTGAAATCGTTTTGGTCATTCAGCCGGGGTGTCTCATATGCAGGGTCCACAGAGCAGTCGCCAATGCACCCGAGGCTGTTCTGACGGAAGGTGGAGAGAGGCTTGCATCCAGGGGCTGGAGTGTGAACCCGCCAGGCCTCTGAGTATCGGTTCTCCATGCCCGAGTCAGGACTGCTGGACAGGAAGTCATTCTCGTTGTTGTATTCTAGGATCTTGCCTGTCCGGACGGCTATATGAGTTTCAATCTCCTCTCGGGCCCGCTCCACGTTGCCTGGGGCTCCCGTGATTTCGAAGACAGGGTCCCGGTCCCGGCTGGGTGTGATGATGTAGGTGTTGGTCTGCTGCTGGATCCGTTTGATGGTAGCTCCTTTAGGCCCCACCACTAAGCCTACCACGCGGTATGGGACCCGGACTCGGATGGTGACTTGCCCCGGCAAGGTTGGAGCACTGCCGAAGGTGGTGCCAGCCTTGTTACGAGAAGCGCGGATCATGGAGAAGTGCTCGGCTGCAGAAATAATTTCCCTCCTTGCCATGGCGACGTCCTCCCTCCGCCCAGTCACCATGAAGACAGGCTCTTCCCCACGTACTGGAGTCTTGATGTAGGTGTTAGTCTTTGCCCTCAGAGCTTTGATTTTGCAACCTTTAAAGACAGAAAAGAAACAAAGGATATACGAGTTAGTGGTAGGCCCAGTTTCGAAAGGCACTGAGGATATGTGCAATGTACAGTTCTGGCCACCACAAAGTCCTTAAAGATGACATTGAAGAATTGGAGAAGGGACAGAAAAGAGTAACCAAAATGATCAGTGCGCTGGAGCAATTACCCTAGAAGGAAAGGTTACAAACAATGTTCTGGGCTTTTTAGTTTAGCAAAAAGACAACTAACGGGCTCATGAAATGATGCGCCATGTGGAAAAATGGGAAAGAACATACTCTGTGGTAAGCCCTAAATTGTGGAACTCCCTCCCCACAGAGGTGAGTCTGGCACCTTCAATATTCCAGAGAATACTGAAGACACATCTCTTTACCCTGGCTTTTGACACGAAGTGTATATTTTCAGGACCCCCCTTAATTTTATGATTGAAACTAGTTTTAAAGTGTTTTTAATAGGCCTCAGAGAAGATTATTTCTTCAGACAACAACTAAGGGGATTTGTTGGAGAAATGTGTGCTGATAACCACTATTCTATGTGGCTTTAGGAATGTAAGAAGAGTCTGTGCTGGATCAGACCAAAGATCCATCTATTCCAGTCTATGGGAAGGAGGGCATGAAGGCAGGAGCCCCCTCCCCAGCAACTAGTTTTCAATGGCAGACTGCCTCTCATGTTGGATGTTACACAGAATCCTTATGGGGATCGGACAAAGTTATGGAAGAGAGATTTTCAATCACCATTTGCCATGATAACAAAATCAAGTCTCCATGTTCAAAGGTAGTTTGCCTCCAAATACCAGTGGATGGGGTAGGTCACTGTGGGGAACTGGACTAGCTGACGCTTTGGTCTGATCCAGCAAGACAGTCTCTTGGAACGCTGTGAGTAAGGTAGCATTTCCCCCCTCTAGGGCTGGATCTAGACACATCAAAGAAGTGTTTCAGTTAAACATGTTGTAAATTTAAACAGGGAAAACAAGTAGAGAAAAATGGGAGTCCACATCACCATCTGGTGGCACAATGCTATATCGCATATACAACACATGTAAATTGCTTTTTCTTTACCAATCTTGCAGAGTCCTAGGTTACATTTCTCCTTTCCAGTGCTAACATTCCATGATTTGTTCCCCACAAGCAAAATGCATCCATATGATGTCATCATCAAAATGCTGCCCCATATTACTTTCTTACTAAATCTCTAGTTTCTTTTTCTATGGAAAATCTTATAATTCCCCCCCCCCATAGTAAATCTGGTTTAAACTGGAATGGGGAGGGGGTATATACTGGATTTTGATTGGGTTGATGTCATGTGGATGCTGTAAAAAGCACTGACTCCACAATAAACTACTGGGTGTAAGTGCCCTAAGTCCTTACTTTTGACTAACCCATGGAGGATCAGTGGCTACCAGGCATGTTAGCTATGTACTACCTCCAGTATTGGAACCAGTGCACCTCTGAATACCAGCAGCTGGGAATCTGGGAAGTTTGGAGAGATCACCTGGATGCAATTCTTTGCCCCATGTATGAGGCCATTTCAAGCACAACTCCATTTTATAAAAGGTCTGATGAATGCTAGTGGCAGAAAAAAGAAAATCCCACTGAACAAGGATGGGAAATCTGTGGCTCTCCAAATGTTGCTGGACTTCAACCCTCATCATACCTGATTATTAGCCATGTTGCCTGGGGGTTTATGGGAGCTGGAGAACAAGAACATTGTTAAACTACAACTCCCACAATCCCTGACCAGTGGCCCTGCTGGCAGTGGCTGATGGAAGCTGTAGTCCAGCAACTCCCAGAGGGCCAAAAGTTCCCCATCCCTGCCCTTATGGCACAACATCATTAAACAAAGAAATGAAAAGTAGGATGTTCCAAGACGAAATATTCTAGAGACAAAAACTTATTTCTTCCCTCCTCTGTATTCATGGAACTGGGATAAATAATTTATCCCAAGAAAGACTTGAGGTAAGGTATGTTTTCAGAAATCCCAGTCTAGATGGCAAGCACTGGCAGAAAGCCAGAGAGCCCCACTCACTGCTGCTTTGCGCCTTGGGAGGATACAAATGCAGTGCAGTTGGGGGGAGGGGGGAATGCTGCCCCTAATGGACTGATCTCTCTCTCTCTCACTGCACCGAAAGGATCAATTTCATTGGGGCCGGGAATCTGCATTGTGAAAATCTGCCGACGTCCAAGGCCTGTTTAGGAGACAAAACAGCGGCGACCCGATTCTTCTCCCCAGATGTGTTCAGCTAAGATAGACACGGAGGCCCTCCCTGATTTAATGGGTAGTAGTGGTGGTAGTGGCTGAGTGGAGCTAGAGGGAGGAAGAGCAATGAAAGAGCCCTCGTGTAATAGGAAAGGTGAAACAAAGGGGTGATGGAGACGGAGAGACAAAGGATGGGGAAGCCCATGCTGGGCGCAGATGGGAAGGAAACCAAGGCAGAGATGTAATTGGGGACAAATGTTGCTGCACAAGGCTCTCTGGGGAGGGGGGAGAAAGGGATGCAGGCAGGGTAAAAAATAAAAAAGAGGAGGGGGACGCTGCAGACCAAAAGGCAAAAGGGACCCTGACAAGGAGAGCGTAGAGGAGGAAAGGGGGAGGGGGAATCAAGGAACAGACAAAAGGAGGCAGGCAGGCAACCATGGGTGGGGGAGGCTGTGACTGGCCCAGAAACAGGACAAAGGGTGCCGCAGAGTCAGACAGATGGAGGGAACCCATCCTCTTGAAACAGAGTTGGAGGGAGGGGAGACCCCCCCCCCCACATGAAGGAAGCAAGAAGTACACATCCCTGCAGATTCTGCCCCATTCTCCCAGCCCAAGCAGGCACACTACTGAGTAGTAGGTGAGCTGAAGACAATATTGATGCCAACCTCTTTGCACGTGGAAGTGGTCTAGAGAAATTGTTAACTTTTCTTGCTAGGTTTTGCCTGGCAGGGCTGGAATCATGAATGCTTGCCACCCTGTCATGTATGTTGTTTCTGCCATGTCCTAGGAAATTGCCTCAAAGTGGAATGAATAGGGTGCGGAGCTGCAAACATGACTCGATGGAGGAATGCTTGCAAGAACAAGTTTGCTCTGTTAAAAGTCCCCCATACTCCAAAGAAGCCTGAAGAATGGAATCCCTTTCCAAGTAATTGCACACCTGCAATGTGGCCCAAGTTACTAATTCAACTGGATTTTTGTAACCTAACCGTTTCAGAGCTTGTTTTCCTCTGCTGTGAATTTGGGCTGAATTGTTGGGGTAGGTTTTCCCACCCATTATATCCATACTCAGAACATATCTGCAGTACAGTCTTGAATGTATTTTATAGTCATTTCCATGCTCTGGGCATCTGTAGTTCTGATATAGGGGTTTGAGACTGACTCGCCAAACTACAATTCCCAGGATACTGTACTTTGTGTTTTTGTGGGGAGGGACACATGACAACCAAATTGGTATAAAACCAATATACGTTGGTGGAGTAGATGTTCTCTCAACCTCAAGTGGAGCTGTGGGATCTTCCCCCACTTCTAAACAAGAACTCGTTAATTAAGGGCCTTGTTAATTATGGAAACCAAGCCATATAGCAAAGCTTTTTGAGTTCCATCATGCCAAAAAGCAAAGGGAAAAAAATCATTCATAGAATCATAGAGTTGGAAGGGACCTCTAGGGTCGCAATGTAGAAATCTCAGCACAGTGTCCCTCATCTAGTTTGAAACCATACCAGAGCCTGCTTAGCTATCAGTTTTATTTCTGCACCACTAGGAGCATGAAAGTGAGAGAAATTGTGTGCACATCTGAATTGTTTGTTTGTCTGGACATCTCAAATGACCATGAAGACCTGTATGATTAGGCCTTGGTTCCTGGGGCCAATATAGATGCAATGGGAAGAGCATGATATATTTAAATACTAAACTACCCCTGTTATGTATCAAGTGAGTGTGTCTGTGCAAGTTTAAAAGCAAAAGGAGGTGAGGAATGCTGAACTCTCTCTACTTGGAGCTGGGAGAGAGGCTGTAGAGAAGCACACCATAAGATGGGGGCTCACATGTTTGCCCTGCCCCCATTTTAAGAACAGGACCCCACCCCCATTCCTGCTCCTATGTGGTTGGGGTAGTGCTAGGTCAGGACACACATAACAGCTGCCATCATGTCAAGTTTGGCCCTAAATGAAGTAGGTTGTACCATTTCAGGCTGCAGCTCATGTAACTGAATGCTCCCTGCACATAGAAACCTAGCATGTCAGGTAGAAATGAAGGCAGAGACCCTTCTACTTGACACAATAGTGCAGTAAGCCAAGCTTTGTAAATCCACAAGTTACTTTGCTGCATGAAATATCTTTTAAAATAATCTCATGAACTCCACGCTTGTCTCTATCTTGCCTTCTAAGGATGTTTGGACTCTCCAAAATTTCATCCGAACAAGTGCACTTAAATGCACTAATAAATGCATGCACATGGACACAAGCAATCTGTCACAGTCAGTTCGTACCTACAGCCAGAACAATTGTTAGGTTATACATTCTGATGTACAATTTGAAGTCTTTAAAAATAAAGACTTAAGATCGGTTTAATCATGTTTAGCAGGTGGAAATGTGAAATGACAAAGGGGGGGTGTCCTCCTGTAGTTGGAGAGCAAAGCTGTTGCAGTTATGCAGGAACTTCCCTGTTTTCCTGCACAATGTTGTCTACAGAAGTACACTATGAAACCTAATGTAAACACAAACACCAGTCAAAATCAGGATAAACAAACTCAGCATCAATAACAATAGTCCGGGAAAGGTTTTGTGTGTATGAAGGTTGGTGGAAGAACAAAGGAAATAGCTTGGTGGATTTTCCCGGGCAGTGAATTCTGAAGGATGGATGCTATAATGGGAAAGGCCCTGTGTCAGATCCCAGCCTCTTGCTCCTTGTAAATTTGGAGTTGCAAGGGGGTGGGGAGAGAGAGAGAGAGAGAGTTTGAGATACAAAGATAGAGAGAAGGATGAAATCAAACAGGAGACAAACAGAGGGGACAA